TTGAGATAGGAGGTAATGGTAAACTAGAAGAAGAATTATGAGTTGAGTTTGTAGAAGATGTAATTAAAGACTGTGCTAAATGTAAAATACAATATGGAATCCATAATTGCTTATATATTTGTTGGTTTAAATGAAGAAGGAATTTAATAAAGAGAAAGGTAACTATATAGTAAGAAATAGAAGTATTATGAATAGTAGAAATAAGGTCAATAGGGACTAAGCCAGATAAGATAGAAATAAGAGATAGTATATAAGAAAAGTTGTGCAGTTTAAAATGTTAAATGTAAGAATTTCTTGATATAGATTAAAAACAGAATTAGTAGACATGTCAAGAGCAGTATCATTTAAGATGCAGTTAAGAAAATTAGAGATTAAATGATAAATTGTTTGAGTTTCTCTATAATATCTTTTATATATATTATATAGAGGTTTGCTATTTATCACCTACGGTGATCATCGTCGGCATCATGTGATTATAATTAACTAATAAAAGTTAAATTTATTAATATACGAATTTATATACCAATAGCACAAATTAAAATTCAAAATAAAAATCCCCAAACTCTAACCCTAACGCTTGTGTCAAAATTTTTTATAGCAGTAACGTACGTACATATGTATGTACACGTTATCACAACAGATAATTTAGAATATCAATACTTTGCACTTCTTAGATATGTACGTACATATGTAATACTTACCTGAACCCTAATTTAGGCTAATCGATACCCAAAGCAAGATATATATGCGCAATACAACATAATCTACAACCATATTAGGATAGAATATAGCACGAGATGTCTTTTTGACAACAAATTCATAACTACGTATCACAAATTTTGTTGTCAAATAAGGTAATAGCTATAGCTTTTACAATTTCTAAATTTTGACAGCATACAAAGTCTTTGATCATCTAAATCTAATCTTAATTCTAGTACTTATGTTAAGAACCTAACACTATCATTACAGCATAAATTTGCACATAAATTAGTACTCACTATTTTCTTTATCGATAGAGTCATTTTTTGCTTTTTGCATCCTCTAATATTATGTCCCTTTTCTTAACAGTAGCTACAGGTCTTAGAAGATGATGCTATGTATTGATTATTGTTCTTTTCAGTTGATGGCTTAAGATGCTTTGGGGGACAACCTCTTGGTTTGTGATATTCCGGATTTGTTATTTCAGGAAGGTTACTAATATCATTATCTAAGGGATGTTCATTGGTTTTTAAAACGGATGATCCACTAATTCCAACCTTCAACTGACATGTTTCTTCTATATTTAACTCAGTATTACGACAATGTTTCATTATAAATTGTGTGAAAAGCTCTATTAATTTGGATGTTACGCCTTCTGCAACAGCAACTTGGACACTAGTTTTTGCAACAGACATTGTAGTACCAAATTCAATTTTTTTGTCTACCTTTTTTCGAATAGTTGAAGTGTAGACATTACGAGTTCGAATTTGATCAATATAGTGCAAAGATTCAGTAGTATAGCTTTTAACACCTTGAAAAATTGTAATGTAGCTTGAAACTTCAGATGGTGCTGATTCAAACCAGCATGAATGAATAAAGCCCATGTGGAATACTGCTTTATTGAATTGAAAAAGAACTCGATATTGATGCCGACACAACATTCCTAGATTGATCATGTACATACATGTACAAAGCATTGTTGAGTCAAAGAGAATCACCACATAATGTGGATTAGATGCTGCTACAATATGATTGATTTCCCATATCTCTTGAACTTCATTATTATTTATGTTTGACAAGAGTTCTTCCAATCTAACTTGTGACATATCATATAAGTGCTCAATCACACTATCAGAATCATTCTTAGGTTCTTTGGCCTTCAAAATATACGTAATTAGCAAGTTTTAAAAGAACATTATTGATTAATTATTTAATAAGCCTTACTTAATCTATTGTAGTTAATAATCCTTGGTACAATAATGCCTGTTTCATTTGCGCTCTCTGGAGTGACAATAGAATAGGCACTAAATGTTCTTTTAAAACAGAATTGATGTTTTTAAAAATAGTATTGTAGGTTGATGGAAGACCAGTTGATGGATTTGAACCATAGTAGTTATTAAGATAACTGTATTGTGCTTCTTTATCTAACTCATTCTCGACCACTCTTACTAACTCCTTTAATAATGTTCCTTGATCCAAATGTTTTTTAAGAACACTATTAATAGATTCAACTCGTTGAGTAAATTCAACCCCTGCTGTGAATATTTTTGTGATTGAATACCTTGCCCATGATTCATGACTTGGATAAAGCTTTTTTTTAAGGTAATTTCGACAGGGCTCATATTTAGCAATTATTTTTTTATACTCGAATTCAAATTGAGATTGATTATAACTATTGCACATATGGTAAAAATCTCCAATAAAATTCTTGATCATGTCCCTGTTCAATTTTGATTTCACCTTTTTTTTTACATTTTCTGTAACATGATAAATATATAGCAAATGACAGGTTTGTGAATAAACGAGCTATATTAATAGAATTAAAATTATAGTAAGTCAACCTAAAAATACTCAATTTAACCATCTATGCAAATTTAACAACACTGACCTGTACAGCAGCTAACATTGCGGGATTACCATCTGTGAATAATACTGTAGGTAAGAGATTATCAGTAGCTTCTAATGTGCTTTGCAGTATTCAGTTATATTCAGCAAATGTTTCATATTTAGTTAAGGCCTGTGCAAGGATCCTTGTTTTAAAGTTACTATCGATGCCAACAAAAATACTAAGTGCCATTTCATATCTATTTGTCTTGGCTGTATTGTCATGTATGACAACATCATGATATTTTGGCCAAAGCTCATTGTGCTGTTCACTCGTCATCTAGAAAAGCCCAGTAAGTTCATTAGATGGTCCTTCTAATTGTGTTGCAACAAAACACTCAGGATCTTTATCACGTTTTTCAATAAAATATTGGAACATTGTAGCTGCATCAGACTCATCATGAATTCAAACACTTCGAAACTTTTGGATTGCATTGTATAGGTTCTTTTTTTTTATATTGTACTGAAGAAAATCTGTAAAAAGAAGTTTATATTGTTGTCCAGCATTTAGGTGTCCATTTGTAGTATAGTGCTTGATTTTATCAAGAATAATTGGTGGAAATTTTAAATTCTTAGGTGCTAATTCTATAGTTTTTAGATCACATAGATGATTATGGTCATCAATGATGCTGGTAAGGTGTATAGTGGTCATGTGTTTTCCAAAGTTAAAGCTTGCTTGCCATTGACAATTCGTTTTAACTGTAGTACTGTCACGATGTAAGCTAATATCCTCCACCTTTTTTGGATTATGAACCCCAGCTTTCCAACATTTGTATACATGCCATCGAACAATGGTTTTGTCAATAGCATCAAGGTCTTTATGGTATTTAATGGCCACAAACCCCTTTTGCTTCGCATATTTATTGACAACAATATCAACATCCTTCCAGTTATTGAAAGGATCATTTACTTTTAGTGTTGTTTCATTTACTTTCAGTGTTGTTTCATTTACTTCTAATGCTGTTTCATTTATATTGGTATTGTCATCAGTACTAATACAAGCGATATTTGTATAGCCTTCATATTCATTCACATTATCTACAAAAGATGACACTTGACCTTGATTCTCAAAATCTATAACCGGATTAGAAGCAAACTCCAAAATCGAATAAGAGGCTTATCAACTACTTATAATGTAAATTTAAGTATCTTGTTAAAAAGGATGATAAGTAACAAATAAAAGGTTGTTCAATAGTCACTAAATCGTTTACCTGTGTTTCCTTATATAGTGACTAGAAGATGAAAAATATTCAGATATAGAAAATCAGGTATTGCTTATGAGTGTAAAGAATAAAGGTAACGTGTGCAAATAACAAGTCATCTATTTAATTTTGTGGTAATGAGAACTACTAAATCGTGAGTTTTTGGGTATCGATTGTGAGAAAATAAATTATAATGCAGTGATGTAAACAAATAATGCATCGATCGTGATCGAAGATAATAAAGGTAACCATGTGCAAATAATAAGTCATCTGTCAGTAATGAGAACTGCTAAAATCATGAGTTTTTGGATATCAATTGTGAGAAAGTAAAGAAAGAATTAATTACGATGCAGTGATGTAAACAAATAATGCATTTAATAAAGTCAGGCATTAAATTTTGCTTTTACTTCAATTTGTAATGGCTACGATTATTTTTTTTACTCTGATTTGATTCGTGACACCGGTGATGATCACCGTAGGCGATACAAAGTAATTTTGTATTATATATATTATATATATTATATCTATTATATTTTTTAGTTTTTATATATATTAATATTACTATATATAATATTATTTGCAATAGAGTAGTCTATATTGTAATAATTTATATATATATAATATTTATAAAAATACTGCTTTTTTGTTTTTCAAGAAAGTTAAACATCTTTATACATTTTAATAAATAATAAATATATACAATTTTTAATATTGAACATCTTATTAAGTACAATATACTAACTTAATACATTTGAATTAAAATATAATTTTATAAAATTTTATATATTATCTTGTAATTAAATAAATATATTTAATATTTAAATTGTTAGTAATTTTTTTAAAAAATTAAAAAATTAAATTTTTTATATATTTTTAAATTAACCAATCACAATTAAGTATTTTTTTGTATTGCTATACAAGTATTTTAATGTAACTTAGTATATAAATCTGCAAAATTTTAACTATAATTATTATATAAAAAAAAGTTATAATAAAAGAAAAATTGTCTATTTAAATTAGTATATTATATAAAAAATTAGTAATTTATATAATAAAATTAATAAATTTTTTTTTTCCTTTGGCAGCCTTGTTGTAAACCTTTATTAAGATTCTTATATATAAATTATATATATTTTTAACTTAAGATATTGGTCCGACATCCTCCAGCTACTTCTTTGAGTACCCAGAAGTGGTCTGCCACATCAGTTGGGGTTGTACCCAGATCTGGAGGCTATATCAAACTAGCCAGAAAGGCCATATATAAATGGCCTCTTTCTACTATCTATAAATTTTTGTAATTGAGCCAAACCATGTTTTCTGTATTTCTTTGTTTTCCACCTCTTTTTTTTTTTTTTCTTCTATCGCTTGGCTTTTTTTTGATTTAATAGACTCATTAACCTTCTTAGTTGGCTTTTTCTCTACAGTTCTTTTTCTCCATTTGATTTTTTTTCTAATTCCTATTTCTTTTTTCCATCAGGTAAAAACTTCATATTGCTTTTTTCATATATCTTCATAAAAGCAATTCTATGATGTATTAATTGCTATTGTAATAAATTCTTTAGTTTCTTTAAAGGATCATAAAGTATCTTACAAATGTTCTATCAACTTTTCTTGTAGTAGGCCTTTGATTATTCCTTGTCTTGTTCTTAATTTTTTATTCTTTTGCATATCTCAGAGTATCTTTTTAAGTTGATCTTTGCATGTTTCTGTTTTAGATTCACTTGATAGCTTTGACCATGCCAAGCTGACCAATGTTTTTTCTATGTTTCTCCATATATTTTCATAATGTTTATATGTTGTCAAATGGTCTTGGTCTTCTTCTTCATCTTCTTGACAAAGTATGCAATATGCATTCTTATAGAGATCAGGGTGACACTGTGTCATTGTCTTGGCCAAGGGTAACTTTTTGTTAATACACTTTATCAGAGTTCCTATTTGCTTATTTTTTCTTATACTTGTACATTTGCTTCCACTTTGGTCTTTCATTTTTTTCCATAGATATGACTAGTTATATGCTTTATTGTTCTTATCTGGTTCTGTTTTTTTGATTGCTAATGTGAAACTCCATTCTACACTCGTTTTAAGATTCAAAATTTCTTTTAGGAATTGTCTTGTAGGATCTTCTATTACTTCTTTTTTCCAATAAAGATTAATGCTAGTTTCTTGTGCTGTTTCTTTAACTATTTTGTTTATATTGTCTAATTTAGATCCCTCTTTCGCTAATCTATCTGCTCTAATATTCCATTTGCTATTACTATGTTCTTTAACTTTAACTAATTCTAACTTAAGTTCTTTTAATTCTATACTATTTCTAATATTTTCTAATATATTAAAGTTTTTTCTTTTTAAATGTTGTTTAGCAGATAAAAAGCTATTTTTGCCTTTTATATTTGCAATAGCTGTTGCACTGTCCATGTATATTTTAACTTTTTTTCTACTTGAAACAGTAAGCAAAACATACCAAATTGCTAGTAGCTCAGGTCTTGTTGATGATGGCCAATTTTATACTCCAAAATAACCTTCATCAAGTATTATTTCTTCTTTTGTATCCATTTGTAACCAGCCTGTTCCCATGCGATCTGGGCTTAAGATTCTTTTCTTTAAATCTTTTTTTAATGATCCATCTGTATAAAATACCAGAGTATCTTCTAGGTTTTCTTGGTTCAAGTCTTTCTTTCAAATAAGTTCTATTTTCATTGACTGACTTATTGACTGCTTCTGTATAATTTCTGTTTCTAGATCCATGCATTGTATATATTCTGCTTTCCATTTACTTTCTGTTGATGTTGTTTCTTCTTTGTCACCCAGTTGTGTGAACATTTCGTAGCTTAAATCTAAGATTGGGTATTTATGTTTTCTTACAAATTTTGATATTGAACCTTGAATTTCACTTTTATTTTCCCATCTTGAACAGCTTCCTTCTTCTATCTTTTGGTTTAGACTGCAATCTTTACATTTGTTTAAAAAAACCTTTAAGCTTTCTGGTTCAATGACTCATTTCCAATGTTCTGTTAGAGCTTTTTTCTATGTGCTAGTGATAACTTTTTTGACAAATGGCTCTAAGTTCTCTTCTTCCTCTTCTTTTTCTTTTTTCTTTAGTTTTATGAACACTCATTTTTTCTTTCTTCTATCTTCTGAGCATGGCTCTAGCTGAATTTCAAGTGCATGCACATTTGGTTTTTAAGTTTACCACTTTCTTTCTACTCTTCTATTTTGCTTATTTTCTATTAATTTCTCTTCTATTTTATTAAACCATTCTGCTTGTTTGCCTTTATATGACAAACCTTGTAAAAGTTTAAGTTGTTGCCATAATATCATTTGATTATCAGACTTGTTAATTAGCTGTTCTATGTATTGTTAACCTACAAAAACGATCATAACTCTTGAACCACTGGACAGAATTCGATGAAACCACCATCATTTGAATCAGCTCACTAAGGCGATTCTAACGAGGTATAGATCATCCATTTCCGATCACAGGATCACAAGATCGAATCTGATAACCAAATTAATAAGGAAGCTGGGATCTGATTGGTTGAATGATTACTGCGCGAAATGTTATACATATCAAACATATAGCATTTATGTGATTTAAAGCATC